TTATAATATCTATTAGTCGAAACTCTAGCTCAACCACTGTTTGAATGTGCATTTCTACCCTTCTGCATAACTTGTGGCTTTGGAGCACAGTTTTCTATAATTTCAGTTACTATTATGGTTGTAGATGTACATTTTTGCTCCTCCGCGTAATTTTTCATTCTGGTGGCTTCGGAGCATGGTTTTCTAAAATTTCAGTTAAGCTTGTGATTGTTAATGTACATTTCTTCTTCCCTTACGCATATTTATTTTAAAATGAAAATTTTGAGGGTCTAGTCAGTATTTCAAGTATCGCGAGCTATTTGAGAGTTAATGTTGATTGAAGTACCAACGTAGATTGTAGTGTACTGGTGGGTGAGAGTGTTTCATCCTTAATCAGAGGTCTCTAATTATAGCTCTGGATATAGAGAAAATCTTGTTGGAAGCACCATCTTCAAATAGATTTTATAAAGTGCGATTTGAATTTGATCGAAACTCCTAAATAGACTGTAAATATCGGATGGAAAACTAAACAAATAGCAAAGTAAAGTTGCAATCTTGTTTTGGGTTATCATGGGAGGAGCAGAATGACGTAACGCCGTAATAAATACAGTAAGATGAACGGCAGACCCACAAACTACTAGGGGTATTCATCGTACCATATGGTACACTTTGAAAAATCCAGATAATTTTAAATTTTAATTCTTAAAAATAATATTTACTATTATGATATTGCATTTATTCGATATATATGTGATCTGGTAGCTTTCGTTTTATTTTATACAGTATTGTAAGTAAGCAATTATAATTTATTTATATATGTAGTGTAAAATTATGGCCTATATTATTATCATACTGAATCGATCGATATGATCCAATATTTTTCATTTGGTTTCGATTTATATGGTATGGCAAGTCACTCATTATTATCTGCTCGCCCCAACTTACATACAATGTAAAATTATGGATTGGACTATGACAGAAATTCAGTTCTAAGAAAATAAATTTAAGCCTTCATCTTGTTAAAACGGTAAATCCCCCAAACTCTTTTAACTAGCTTGTCATAATTAATAGCTAAATGATTTCTGATAGATTATGTTTAAGGTATTTTGAATTCAGATGAGAAATGCTACCTTTGAAATGTGTATATTTTCAACCTGATTACCTTGCGTTAGTTTAATTTTTTTTTTAAATCGTAACCAAAAATAATTCAATACAAACTTATTTTTTAGTAATTAAAAGCAGGTCAGAGGCCGGTCAAAGGTCGACGATCGCACCCCTAATACTTAGCACTTGTTTTCTTATTGATTCCCAGGGCGGTGGCATTCTTGAATGAAGTCTATTCGAACCGAATTAGCACTTCTCAAATCAGATCTGGACCTCTTTCAGGTTTGAAAGCAACCCTTATTCTATCAAGGGCTCAATTGATGGGACTTGCTTTCCTTCCTAAAGGAAGTTAGCCGGAGCCGGTAGAAATGACTGACTTGCGCGGAACGTTCCAATTTTATAATTGGATGTACCTGCGGGGGCTTGTGTAGGGAATGAGAGGCATGTCATAACTCTTCTCAAGTGTATATATTTTTGGATGTTTTCATATTATTTAAAGCAGAGCATATTAATCTATGTGATTTGCTTAATATAAAAACTATATATCCACAAAATTGAATATAAAAAGTCTTTACATCCCTACTCTGTTAAATTAGGGCGAAACTTTACGATGACTCAAAATAAATAAAATTAAGTTAGAAGAATTTAAAAACGTGTAAAAAGATATTAAAAGAGAAAAGGGAGTCGCCACCTAATTTTAGGAAAAACTAGGAAATCAATTAATAAATTAATTTAAAAGAAATGTCTACGAAACCAATATGATTCTAGGTAAGGGGTCCAAGTTATTCCGAAAGAAATGGTTTAGGACCCCTTCGAAATCCACAATTATGGTTCTCGGCTGAATTCATTTTTTATTTCAAATTGAGGAAGAATATAAAATAATATACAAGTATAATCAACATTCAATATTCACAAATAATAAAATAAAAAAATACAAGAGACTGCCTAAATTTTACCTAACGTTAATATATACAAAATAATAAAATAAAAGTATGATTAAAACTATATTCGAATAATTTCTAGGAGAACCACCTTCATATACATGTAAAGACACTTTGTAAAAGAGTTAGTACCAAATAAATATAAATAAAAATTGAATAACTCAAATAATAACTTAAAAATGGGAAGCCTTGAAAATCGACGGCAATTTCTTTATCGGCCAATTCAACAAATAAACATATATGAACTTAAATTAGATTTTCGTCTTTTAAAATGGAAAAGGCCTCTTAACCCGACGGATAGATTTTTCATTGGTCATTTTAACAATTTTAACAAACAATTTATATAAACTTAAACTAAAAATTTCCGTCTATTAATATTGGGTAGGCCTCCAAAATCGACGGAGAGTTTTTCATTGGCCATTTCAACATATAAAATATATAAGCTTAAATTAAAATTCCGTCTTATTAAAATGGGAAGGCTTCTAAATTTGACGGATTGATTTTTCATTGGTCATAATAACAATTTTAACAAATAATTTATATGAACTTAAACTAAAAATTTTCATCTTTTAAAATGAAAAAAGCCTCTAAACCCGACGAATAAATTTTTCATTAAACAATTTTAAACTCTGTAACATCAACACTAGTCGAAAGAAGACAAAGTAATGTATAATATAACTACAATATCCAAAATAAAACAAACAAATGATAAATAAAGTCATAATAATACGACTCACTAGAAATCTTTAGAAAATGCATTAGGATCAATTTTAATAATTAAGACTGACCACATGTGACCAAATTCAAGCAGCAACATATAATATAAAATGCAATCAAAAACCAAATCAGTAATAAATATATAGAAGGAAAACAAAACAGTCACATACAAAATTAATTAACCCAAATAGATGAGTCACTACATACATTCACATAAACATCTCTAAATATAATGAATATCTATACATATACTTATAGAAATTATTAACCAAAAAGGTCAAATAAATGATCTGATCATTAATACCATAGTCAAAAGGAAATCTTAGCAAAACAAAGGGTAAAATATATAAAAATTAAGCCATATCTATACAACTATGTAAAAAAGAAACCTCAGACGAATAAACTTTAAACACAAGCAACAACTATAAAAATACTAAAATAATAGTAATAAAAAATGATGAATACAATAATGATAAATAATCAAAATAATATAAAAAAAAAAGTTAAGGAGACATACAATGAGGTTTCGGCCGGAGCGTGAAGCTCATCTTGTTAGCGGATTGCACCGGCGGTGTGAGAGCCTTCCCAGATTTCGAGAGCTTCTAGTTAGATTTGGGTTTCGTTGAAGCTCGGGACTGGTTGTCGTTCACCGTCGAGCTAAAACACCTGTAAAAGAGAGGGAAGAAAAACGTGAAAGGGGAAGGGGGATGGGGCTGTTTTTAGTGAACTTTTCACCGGGAAAAGGGAGTAAAAGGAAGGGGTTATGGTGGTTGTTTCTTGGTCTATCTAATGAGGCAGAAATCTATAGTTCTGGTGGTGTTGGGTGGTATAGAGGTTTTTTTGGTGGAGAAACGGTGGTTGTTGGGGTCTGTTTTGTTGGTTTTTTTATGGAGGAAAAGGGAGGTGTGGTGGCTGTTTGGTTGGAGAGAGGATAAGAGGCGAGGGGAGGAGAGAAAGGATAAAAGGAAGGCAGAGAAGGGGCTGCAAGGAGAGGGAAGGGAGAAGAGAAGAGGGAGGAGGGGGACGACGGGAGAGGGGCAACGGAAAGAGAGGAGAGAGGAAAGGGGGCGGCTGTCTCGCCGGAAAAAAATGGAGAGATGAAGGGGAAGGAAAGGTGAGTGGAGAAAGAAGGGAGGAGGGAGGAGAGGCGGTTAGGGGAGAGAGGAGACGTCGCCGCCTTTGGCGGCCTTCACCATAAAGTGGTGAGCAGAGAGAGGGCGGCGGATTCCTTCGGAGAAGAGAGAGATGCCGCTCAAATGAGGGGTGAAGAACAGCGTTTTAGGGTTCTCTCCAAAAAAAATTTCATCCCGTGGCCACAAAATATTATTCATACCAAAATAGTTATGAGCTTAGATATGGACTTAATATCGTGAACCAAAATTATTTTAAATTGCATTTTACATATTATTAGTTATGATGATTATATTATTTTAAAATTTCATTTACTTATTAAATTTGTTAATATTTATGTGAATTTAGCACAGAATAAAATTTAGTCAAATACAAAAAATATTTTTAAAAATTCTATTATAATAATTTTAAATCACAATACTAAGTCCATAACTTAGTCCATAATACCAGGAGATGAAAACTTAAATCACTCTTCCTCTTCCTCTCTAGCCGCTTCTCTCTCTTTCTTTCCGAGAACTACTACACAGAGGGGGTTGGATGACATTTTTCGGGAGAGTGGCGGGTCCGGCAGCGAAATTGAAGACCCGATCTGATGAGGTGGTAGGGGGTGTTTGGAGGGGAGTGGTAGTTGTGGAGGCGGGTTTGGAGTTGTTGGAGGTCGCCGGAAAATGGGTATTGAGCTGATGGTTTCAGCTGCTGCTGGTTTGGGGTCGTTTTGACGAAGAAATAAGGGTTGTTGCTGGTGCTGGAGCTTCGCCGGTTAGGGGAGAGAGAAGGGAGAGGGAGAGGAGAGAGAGGCAGCTGGAGAGGAAGAGGAGAGAGAAGGGAGAAAGGAGAAAGGTGAGAGGAGAGAGAGAGGCGGCTGGAGAGGAAGAGTGGATAGAGTTTAGGGTTCTCGCAGTTTTTAAAAGTTTTCATGATCTAGTCTCAAAATATCATTTTTATCAAAAAAATTTATGGACCTAAGTTATGGTTTTAGTATTGTGGTCCAAATTTATTGAAATAGAATTTCTAAAAGTTATTTTTGTATTTGACTAAATTTTGGACTGTGCTAAATTTACATAAATATTAACAAATAAAATTAAATTTTAAAATAATATAATGAACGTAACTAATGACATGTGAAATGTAATTTTAAAAAAATAACTAACAAAAATCTTAAATTATGATAAATGAAGATAATTATCTATAAATTTTCTTAAACTATATTAAAAAAAATTATTTTAAGCTATTAAATAAATAAAACTTTAAAATTACAAATTTTAAAAATATTAAGCCAAAATTAAATGTCAAACAAAAAGAATTACAGTAGTCAAATATTAATTTTAAAAAGTATAATTTCCAGATATTTTGTATTGCAGAATTTTTTTTTTCCCATTGATTGGGCAATTTAGGCCAAGCTCTCAACAATTTACAATATTGTCAAAAAATTATGTACAGAAAGATGATTGATCAATATGGACCCCAGCAGGTCAAATACATGACTTTTCTCAGCGACTCTTCAGATTGCTTCACTTTACTGTTATCAGAAACCAAAGAAGAAGAAGATTGAGAAGACATTTTTTTGGCCTGTAAATATGAGCGTAGATTGTTCTTAGCGTGCTGATTTATGGCTCTGATTGTGTAATTCCACCTACAAACTCCTTGATCTTTTAGTGCCTCTACCACTCCTACGCTTACTGCTGCAACCCATGCTCTGCTTGTTGAACTCATTTTTCTAATACAAGATTGTGAAGGTTTGATTTGCTTTTTCCAAAGACTTGAATACTGTGTTTGTTGAATTTTCAGGGATTTGATTCTTCTTCTCAATATATAGGCAAATGCGTCTCAATAAAATTAAAATTAGTTGCTTTTAACTTTCACGTGGTTTTGGAGCATGGTTTTCCAAAATTACAGTTACAGAATATGGATAAGAATGTACAGTTCTGCTCTTAGCAGAAATCGCAGAATGATGTGCATATAACGCCAAAATGCATACATAAAACAATGAGTACTTGAGATGTATGCACACGGATTGGGTAGATAAATGAAAACCCACTACAGACTAAACCTATAAGACCAAATACATAAATAAATGCCTTAATTTGTTGTTGTTATTTAACTATGTTATTTTCGTATTAAATCATTGAATCAATCATAATTTATTTCTTTCAAATAATATTGATTAATATGAAATCATATATTTTGTACGATATATTAATAGAAGATACATATACTATTCCAAAATTCATCAATCCAACTGAAACTGAAATTGTTCGTCAATAATTATATTTTTTACTTCTAGTCATTTGGATACATTATAAAATAAATGAGAATAATTATGTTTTAAAAAAAATTAATGAATAATTTAATGATTCAATAGGAAAATAATATAATTGAGGACCTAAAGAAAAAAAACTCAATAAATTTAGAAATTTATTTATGAATTCGACCTATTTATAAAATAAATACTTACTAGGTAAAAAAATAATCTAAACTTTAGCATGAACTTAGTATTAGGCTCGTCTTGAGCTTGACTCCGCTCAAAATTCTAATTTATTTCGAATTGTTTGAATTTCTCTCTCTCGATATGTAATAAGATCTGATGCACATCGAAAAAAATATCTTTAAAATTTTAAATTCTCCTATCTTTCTGTGATAGTCTTCGCTATCCGTCTAAATGATAGATCTTGCCATTAAATTGGGTCACTCATACTTAACTACAACCACCACTGATTTATCAAATTATGTCAGATTTCTGATGCAGATCAAGAATAATTAATAAACTATCTACAAATTTTGAAATCATATGTGTATTTATAATTTACTATTTCTTTCGTTTCAAAATAATTAAATTATTAAAATATTTGTATATTTAAATTAACTTAATTATTCAATCTTTTTCTTCAATTTTACTACTCCGTATATGATAGAGTTCAAGAAATATTAATTGGTTTGAATTATTTTCTTGGCAATGAGTTTAAGCTATTTTTAAATTTTTTGATATTGAATTAGTTATTATAATTAATATTCCCAGGAGAGGAGTAATTTCCATCGGAACAACTCCGCCTTGTTGCATATTAATAATACTTCTAATTAAACATGCTGGAAGTGATGCAATTAGTTGATCTATTAATGTATCAATTTCACCAAAATAACAACTCTATTCATATAGTATCACATAAGATTACAGATACATGCTTATCTTTAAAATGGCATGCCCTTCAACTAGTACAATCTTTGTCCTATTTACACTTTTCTTTTTCTGTCTCATTTACCACTATGCTAAAATGTTCAATTTGGACCCCAACAGCTCAAATACATAACTTTTCTCAGAGATTCTTCAGATTGCTCTGTCTTTTCACACTTTGCAATAAGTGAAGATGAAAGTTTTTTAGCTTGAGAGTAACATCTCATGTTATTCTTTGTGTGCTGTGCCAAACACTTCAATGGATAATCCCATCTGCACAATCCAACCTGATCTTTTAAAGCTTCTACTGCTCCAACACTGGCTGCTACTATCCATGCTCTCCTGCTTGAACTCATTTTTATTTAATTTCTTCTTACTTCTAAAAACTATGTTTGTCTTTTTTTGTGATGATGAATTGGTACTCTGGTATTTAGATTGCTGAATAGTTGGTTTGATGATTTGAATGTTTGGGGCTAATGCTAAATATATATATAGGCACACTACTGATGGAAAGAAGCAAAGGTTAGAAGAATCTAGAGACTAATAAAACCACTAGTTTTTTAGGCTAACTGTGGGCTATAAAGCCAATGGTTTTGTTATTGATTTGCTGAGAGGAAGACACGAGTTGGACCACTCACACTCTTCTCTTTTTTTTTAATGGATATTTGTATGTTATAGCAACATTTGCATAATTATACTTCATAGTAAAAATAAAAATTGTATAATTCACTATAAGTATATAGTTGAAGCAAATTGTATAAAACAAGAAAGATAAAGATACTTAGGTAGAAAAGTATATAAAAACGAGGTATATATAAAACAAATTGTATTATTATAAGTGTATAGAATGATTATATACAATTTGAATTTGTATAAAATGAGAAAGACAAAAAGACTTGACAAAAAATATACAATTGAATCAAATTGTATAAAACGAAAAAAAAATTAGATACAATTTAAAAATTATACTTTATGCTACTTTTAAAAAAAAAATTAAAATTTTCCATGAAATTGATTCTCAAAAAAGGGAAAGCATCACATAAAGTTAAATATAAAAATATATATTTTTTACTTATATTTTAGTAATATAATTTTAAAGAAATATTTATTAATAAATAAAAATATTTGAATAAATTACACATTATATTTTTTTGCTGAGTATTTTTCAATTTAAAAATAACATTTATTTGATCTCCTATTGAAATTGCATAATTACCAAGTGAGTTTATGAATTTTAGAATATTAAGCTAGTGTTTGGCCATAGATATTCAAATATTTTTGGCAAATATTATTTGGATGAAAATTTGGGTGAAATTTTACCATGTGTTTGGCCATAGAATTTGGGAAACATATTTCATTTTTTTAACAAATATGATTTACACCCATAAGTTTTTAAAACTATCAAACTAACCATAAATTTGTATTACATAGCACAATAGAAATCTCACGTAACAAGATTTATGACTTCCGCAACAAATCAATAAGAATCATTACAGTAAATATTCGTATAGTGAAAAGGTCTTGGTACAAATCATGATAATGAAAATACAACTAATATAAATTCGGGGGAAAAAAAGAGAAGAAAACAAAAGGAAATAAATATTGCAATCACTAAAGAACCTATACTTTCTTATCTGAAAGAGTTCAACCTATTATTTAATATAATCTTCTCACATTTTATGAACAATCTCTTCTCGATGAGCTTGCATTTTCGAATCAGACGATCGAGAAGATGAAGCGATGTTGTCACCCTAAGCCAGTAGTTCGTCACTTTCATCAACAACCATATCATCATTTTCATATTCATTGAATATTCCATCACTACTTTGGTGTTCACGTAAAAAATTATGCAATATAGCGCAAGCAATTACTATTTTCACTTGCATGTCACATTCATAGTTGTTCATGCCTTGTCTTAGTATTCTGAATCTACTTTTCCACGCACCAAAAGTTCTTTCAATTACATTGCACAGAGAAGAATGTCTATAGTTAAATAGCTCTTTTCCATTCTTAGACTCTCTTTCACTTCATCGGTAGTCCTGCAAATGATAGCGCATTCCAATGAATGAAGCTAAAAATCCTCTTGTGTTCCATAGACCAACATCAACAACATAATATTTATCTATCAAAATAAAATAAATGCAATTCATGTTTTATTTAGTAGCTAGTTCATTAAGACTAACTGTAACAAAGGAATGTATGAAATCAAAAGAATGCATGTAGAAGGGAGCTAATTGAATTGGTTGGTGTCAATAAATATATAATTTTTGTAAAATAAAAAGTTAAGGGTAAAAATTGAATTTCTAAAACTTTCCAAATAATGAAATTTGGCCCAAATACTAGTTTTTTCTAGTATTTGGGAATTTGGAAAATTTGCTAAATAATAAAATAATGTATGAAAAAACAAAATTTGTCAAGTTTTTCCCCAAATTTTACTTTGGGGAATTTATGGCCAAACGGGCCCTAAGCCTCTACCGGACTAAATGTGTTCGGCTATTCAAATTTCATGGAGATTCAGATACTTAAACAGTCATATGCAAGAGCAAAAGCCACAATAGGTTGATTATTATTCTCTTTTCGGAAATATAAAGTATTTTAATATATTAAATCTTTTTCTTTTATATTTAATTGTGTTTTGAACTTTTATATATAAAAAAAAAAAAAACTAACTCCACTGTTATACGTAATTGATTGTGAAAAGTAACATATTATTGGGGAAATACTCTTAAATGTTAATATTTGATAAATTTATTCTATTTATTCACCTTTGAACCTTTTAACCATGTGGTAAATATATGGGAAGTGTCAAAACTACAAGATTCACATAGTTCATTCATTATAGAACTGAGGCAAGATCAATATGGACTAGAAAAAAAAGTTTTTCTATTAATATTTGACAAGGCAATTGAGCCTTAAGCTATAAAATAACTTCATCAACATTTATCCTAAATTCTCAAGGAAATATATATATTTGTACATAATAATAGCAAAAAATTTAACTGTTGGAATTCAATATGGACCCCAACAGGTCAAGTACATAACTTTCCTAAAAGACTCCTCAGACTGCTTGGCTTTCTCCTTCATTTCACTTTTTGGAGAAATCAAAGAAGAAGACCGAGGAGAGATTCTTTTGGCTTGTGAATACGAGCGTAGATTGTTCTTTGCGTGCTGATTTATGGCTCTAATTGTGTAATTCCACCTACAAAATCCTTGATCTTTTAGTGCCTCTACTACACCCAAACTCACTGCTGTAACCCATGCTCTGCTTGTTGAACTCATCTTCAATTTTCGGCTTTGGTATTTTAGTGAGTGTTTTTTCAATGATTTTGATTTTGATGTTTGTTGAATTGAATTACTTGGGATTATATTATACATATATATATATATAAGTATTGCTGAATAAAACTAGTGGGTTTTGGCTGTGCGCTATTTCCAGTGGTTTTGGAACATGGTTTAGTTAGGTGTGTGTTGATGAATGTACATTTCTACCCCGCACTTCATCAATTATTACTACGTGTACTATATTTGGAGAGCACACTGTTTTTTTGAGTGACACGTGTTGTGGTATACATGAGGCTAAAATAAAATTTCTTTTATAAGAATGCACACGGATTGGCAAGATTAAAGAAAATCCACCAGCGCCCAAACCATGGGAAAGGATATTCAATGAACATCACACATTTTGCTTTATTTTTATCACTGATTTCAAAAAGTTATCCACTCAAATCAACAACCTTAAAATATTCTCTCTCTCTATATATATAAAATAGTGAAAAAGTGTTTCGATTAAGAAGGAAACTGTACATGACAATTTTAAAAAAGAAAAAAATTTAATAACGATAATAAAGTACGTTGAGAATTAAAATATAATAAACACAAAGTAACTGTATGTAGAAATTATACTATGACAAACATCTTTCAAACTCCAAGTAAGCTTAATTTTACCCAAAAAAACAAAGACAAGAGAAAACTTAATGAATTTACTAATTTCATCCACAGTCTTCTTATCATTCTAACTATTTAAAATATATCTTTCACGAAGTTAAATTTAGGGAAACTTTTAATATATTTATAATATAATTTTAATATATATTTTTTAAAAATCTATTATTTAAATATAATATAAATTTTATTAATATATTAATCACATTTTAATACACTTATTTTATATAAGTATGAGTGATTATTTACTAAAGAGTATCGATTCAATATAGTTTTTCGTTAAATTTACGTGATATCGTATCTTTCTAATTGATTTTTCAATTCTTTTTTGATATACACTTAAGATTTTTGCTTGGGTATAGGATAAATCATAGTTAACTTTTTCATCCTTCACTCGATCTTCGCCATTGTGATCTTATGAGATGCGGTTCGATCTTAATTTTTTACATCAAAATCAATAGGAGCGACTTTTACTTTAATTCATGGAATATAATATTTTCAGATTTAGATTTATTTCCTAAAAGCATGGTGGATGTGATGTAATTTGTCATAAGAGGAACAAGTTCATCGAAATATATCAACACAATGTATTGCAGTTTTCTGATATAATTTTCGAAATACAGAGTAATCCTATTTAATTACAATCAATTTGGACCCCAACAGCTCAAATACATAACTTTTCTCAATGATTCTTCAGATTTCTCCATCTTCTCACTCTTTGTAGTTATTGAAGAAGAAAGTTTCTTAGCTTGAGAATAAGATCTCACGTTATTCTTTGTGTGTTGTGCCAAAGACCTCAATGGGTAATTCCATCTACACAATCCAACTTGATCTTTTAAGGCCTCTACTGCTCCAACACTGGCTGCTACTATCCACGCTCTTCTGCTTGAACTCATTCTGATTTATTTTCCTTCTAAAATTTATCTCTGTTTTTCTTCTTTGCTTCTCTGATTGTGGTGATGATTGAAATTCAGAGCTAAAATAAGGGCTGAATATATAGGCAGTGAAAGAGTAAATTGGATAAAGAGATTAGCTAGAAAGTGATAAGCCGCTGGTTTTTGGGTAACTGTGGGCTTTACAGCCAGTGGTTTTCAAGACGTTTCATTCACTGTGATTTCTTAGAAAAAGACAGAGAGTTGAAGCGCGGCATTCTTTGTCCTTACTCCATTTGTTTAATTGCCCGACTCTTAATTTACTACTAGTATTATTTATTTTTATCTGTTTACTTTTTTTAAAAATATTATTTTACTTATTATGCTTAATGTACAGAAAATAATTAGTACTTTTTCACATTAATTATTTATTTTTTAAATTAATAATTATTATTCCCTTAATTTAAAAAAGAAATCTCCTTTATTTTTTAGTCTGTCTTAAAAAAGAATGACTTTTTTGTTGTAACAATTTTTCACATTGCATATTTAAGTTCATAAAATTAAAAAATAATTTTATATATTTTTACATAATTTTAATTTAAGACTGCATGATTATATTTATTTTTTAACTTCTATACCAAATTAAAATAAATAGTTCTTTATAAAACAAGTAATACATAAAAATATAGAAAATTTAAATGGATGTATAAAAATAAAGGAAGTAAGTAAAATTAGGAGAATCGAAAACTTGAATGGGTCTAAGAATGACGCATTTGTTTTCTATTAAATTTATTTGGCATTTATGTAAAATTGAGAGATTTTTTATTGAAAAAAATTCGGAAATAACATCTTTAAGAAAATTTCATAATTATAAATTTGATAATTGTGCTTCATAATTATCATTTCATTTGTTATAGTGACCGTGATAGAGACTGTAATGTGTATATTTTTATGTGTTTGTATACTTCACTCGCAAAGTAAGCTTATGTATTTTGAATTTCTTTTTCAAAATTTTATTTATATATTTTATTCGTCAAATATATAAATAGGATAATTTATAGTAAAATTTTCATAAATCACATGGATAAACATATTTAAATTTTGAATTTATATCATTAAAAACAAAATGATGCAAAATTAAAAAAAATATATACAATTTTGGCGAATTAAACAAATAGCACGAAATTTAAGAAAACCATTGAGATCCCAATTTTCTAAAATAGTGACTATATATTATTAATATCATTTAAATGTGTGATATTCGCATAATTTTTTCTTTTTTATTTTTCTAAAAGAACTTTGGTGGATTTTACTACTTCTTTAATGTGTGTGAGAAAAAAACTATCCCTTAATATTTAAGCCTACATAATTGGTTCATGTTCCACGATTCAGTTGTGTATAGAGAAAAGTTAGTAATTTTGATTTGGAATTTGAAACAACACTAGCCATGTCAAATTATTTGTTTTCCACAAGAGTTGATTGGGCAATTTAACAATTTAGCTTTAAGCTATTAAAATCCTTTACAATATTGTCAAAATACTACACAAAATGACACTAATTGAATCTAACTGCTATTAGGATTGATCAATTAGGACCCCAACAGCTCAAATACATGACTTTTCTCAGTGATTCCTCAGACTGCTTCAACTTTTTCAATTCTAATTCATTTGCAGAAACCAAAGAAGAAGAAGATTGAGAAGAGAGCTTCTTGGCCTGTGAATATGAGCGTAGGTTGTTCTTTGCGTGCTGATTTATGGCTCTAATTGTGTAATTCCACCTACAAACTCCTTGATCTTTTAGTGCTTCGACTACTCCTAAACTTACTGCTGTAACCCATGCTCTGCTTGTTGAACTCATTTTCTAATCTTTAATTCTTCAAAACTCTTGAATATTTATATTTGTGAGAGAGTTTAATTTCTTGCTGAAATACTTGAATAACTTGTTGGTTTTTGAGATATCTATCTCTCTATGCCAATAACATATATACTGCGCTGGTTGGAAGAAATAAAAAAAACTAGAGGCTTTTGGTTGTGTTTCCTGTGGTTTTGGAGCATGGTTTTCTGGGACTGTAAGTACATTTCTGCCCTTGGGCATTATCTCTTAATGATCAGTATTGAGGAGGATATAAGTGGTATTTTCAATTATTATTATTTTCATCATCACAATTATGTGGATGGGGTGGGCAAGAAAAGAGCACACAGAATTTGTAGCTTCTTGTTTGATATAGCTGCAAGATTGGAGACACGTAGAGTGACTTGTGCTGATGTGTCTAATGCAAATAATAATAATAATATGCAGATGAAAATTGGCATATGGTTTGGCTTGGATTAAAGAAAATTCAGTTGCGCCAAAACCATGGGAAAAAATCTTGAAAATAAAACCACTGAAATATTTGAAGTTACGTTAATTGTAAAAAAAATCTTACCATTGATAAATAGTGTCGTTACTTCTATGACACAGTAATTATTATACTCCATATGAAGCAAATAATAAAAAGGAATTTAATGTTTGACTGTGCTTAAATGATTGGTTTTATCAAATATCTGAACCAACACATGTAGTAAAATTAACATCCCATTGGAGAAACTAGACAAATGGGCTACCGGAGGGAGTTAAAAAAATAGAGATATGAAATAGTTCGAAGGAATTTGATATTCATTATATATATTTAAAAATTATTTTAATTATATTCGAGTTATTGATTTATATCATTATGAAATTGTGTTATATTTTTAAATTCAATAAATTTTAAAATATCACTTCGAAAATTTATAGTCAAACGGGCAAAATTCTTATTTCTGATCCTTTTTGAGAATACCGATCGATGCGTGTAATTTGTGTTCACACAATTTGTTCACACACTTGGATCTCTTAATATGTTCTTCTTCTTTGTCGGTTTTTTCAAATCAAGACCACCAAATAAAAAATAATAAAGTTGAACGAATCATTTGCAAGCATGTCAAAATGATCATAGAAATACTAATCTATCTGTCATGTCATGTTATCATTTCATCAAAATATCAACAGTACTAAAATATCATACAACTTTTTTTCCCTTTCAGTTCTTTCTATGCTCTAGAAAATCTTCATGTCTGCAAAAATGACATAGAAGTTTCTATCTAACAAAGATTAGTTAATTTGGACCCCAACAGCTCAAGTACATAACTTTCCTCAAAGACTCTTCAGATTGCTCTGCATTTTCACTCTTTGCAATTAGTGAAGATGAAAGTTTTTTAGCTTGAGAGTAAGATCTCATGTTATTCTTTGTGTGTTGTGCCAAACACTTCAATGGATAATCCCATCTGCACAATCCAACTTGATCTTTTAAAGCTTCCACTGCTCCAACACTGGCTGCTACAATCCAGGCTCTCCTGCTTGAACTCATTCTGATTTATTTTTTTCCCCTCTTTTGTAGTTTTTTTTATGATGAATTGGTTCTTTGGTATTTTGATGATTTTGAAAATGATGCTTGGGAGCTGAATTTATAATGCACCTTATGAGTCTAACTGTGTGCTCTTTGTATTGCAGGCAGCTAGAGCTAGTGGTTTTATTATTATTTTTTTAATAATTTAAATTCAAGTTATTTTTTCCGTATGTATTTAGTCACTGATTCGAATGCATTGATACTTGGACCATAGCAGCTGGTTTTTTATTCGAGTCCCTCAGTAACTTTAGTATTCCTTAACTTTTAAAAGTTTTAAGATTTTAATCAAAGTTTTAACATTTTAATTGAAACACTCCAGAAATTTGATGGTCGAATAAGAATAACAATTTTGAAATATTTTGTGTGACTATGTTAATTTCTATTTGGTATATATATATAAAAGAACGCAGTTGTATACAAATCAACTGTATAATTCGCTATATATAAAATGAGAAAGAGATAAAGACAAAATAAAATTGGGCAGAGGAATATTTGTATTGTATAAGTATATAGGACGAAGATATTTGTATTTACAAATGTATATACAATTTTCTCTCACTTTATACAAATAGAAACATAATTTATACATTTAGTTTCTGTTTGTATAAGCGACATAGGCGAGGTGGCGAGCAAGATTTGAAAGAATGGCGAGCACGATTAGGGAGAGGGGAGAGAGGAGAACGAAAATATATGTATATACAATTTTTTCTCGCTTTATACAAACATAAATACATTTTTTAAAATTGTGTTTGTATAAAAGTTAGAGGGAGGGAGCGAGCGAGAGCTTGAGGAAGAGAGGTGAATGACAAATAGTTTGTTATATGGTACAACTAAATTAAAGTATAGTTATAGCATTTAATTTAATTTATTAGTTTGTTATTATATATAATATATCCTAGAAAAAAATTATGTTTTCTTTCATCGAATATCTGAAAACTCATATTAAAGCTCTGATTAAATTTGAATCGTATTCAAGTTCAAAATCTTTGATTAAGAGTGAAGCACTCCATATTGGTTAAAAAATTCAAAAGTATTGGCTAGAAAAACAACAATCATGTTGGTTAAAAAAAGCAAAATTGGCTAGAAAATTCTATGTTACGTGTAGACATTTGTGAAGTATATATAATACACTGATCAACTCTTATTTTATTCTCCTTGATCTTTTAACTAATATACTTTTAAGATCCTAACTGGCTAACCATCTTTCCAATTGATTTCTTGAAGTGCAGTTCAGTTAGTTTTCTGAACCCCTAACTAGTTTTTTTCTGAATGTAATTTTATGCGCATACGTTTAAATTAATTGAACTTAAATACATGTATTAGATATCAGAAGAAAAACAAATCGACAAGTAAATAAGAAAAAGATAATCTAGAAAAAAGGTGACCTCTACCATACCGCACCCAACCCATCTTCTCCTAAACCCATTTCTCTTTTGTCTTGTTGCCTGTCCGGCTATTCCCTTGTTTTCTTGAGTTCGCAGTAAAAAAAAAAGCTACTTTTTTCTCTTTAGAATGTATAAACGATCACTCAATTTTTATTTTAAGAAAAAATTTACTAGAAGGTGAAATATATTATAATTTTAACAGCGAAAAAAAAAACTTTTTTCTCGTTACCCAGCCTGCTAGTTTCTCATTTTAATTTTTTTTGTCCCGATACATCGCTGCATTCCCTGCGATAAATTGAGTACTTGGAGAACTTCAAAATGACTATAAAAGCTAAGATGATTCCCATCTAGGATGTGTGTTTGGTAGGGAGGAGAAAAACGTTTAATCACTTTCTATTTAATTGATCAAAATATTATTATCTTTTTTAGAAAAAAAAGTTTTTTTTAAACGAGGAAAAAAAATTCAAATAAGAAAAACTAATTTCTTAAAAATGAATAGAATGGCTTTGCAATAAAAGTAAAAATAAAATAACACTCACTATTCACTGAGATATATACGACCCTGAATATTCTTTCTTTTTCATTTCTTGAATCAACCATATAAAAAGAAATCGTTTATAAAAATTAAACTCAAGATTTCTGTCTATATAATCTGGTAGTTGAATTTTGTGACCACACATTTCTTACTATTATTACTTACTTAACTATATATAATATTATGTTTCAATGGGGTGGGGCTAGTGCAGAACCATAATTCATGAAGGATGTGGTGGTGGAGAATTGAAAGATATATACATGGTAGAAAATAGTTCCAATTAAACATGAACATCTAAACAAAATATAGTTTGGTATGGTGTATCTAACAAGTGATAATAGTCAATAGTCATGCTATTAGTTGGTCCACATATTTATCATCTATCAAAATATGTGTTGGGACACAGTCACCAAGCTGTTTATTAAAAATAATAATTACAAAGAAAAAGAGAATTCGTTTCTTTACCGGCGAATTATTTCTTTTGGTATTGAAAATAAAATAAAATTGAGTGGTCATTTATGTATTTCGGAGAAAAAAATCATCGTTTTGATTTCAAACTCTTGTTTTCTTCCCCTAATAAATGTCCTCCATTATCCAATTTTGGACTCAGATTTTGCAATTTATAAGTTTTTGATAAAAAAAAAGATGACATAAGACGTAAATTCATGTATTGTGGACTAGATTTGCCTTACAATAACTGGGATCATCAAATCACCTAGAGATTATGAAAGGTTCATAAAAGCATTACCGTTTTAAGGATAATTTTAAAATATTATAAAAATAATCACGTATTTTTTTTTAAAAAAATAATATTTAATATATCGCATGAATTGAAATGGAGAAAGTATCAAGAATATAATGAGAAAAAACAAGATAATTTTATCTTGATTATTTTTAGAAATCATGATATACTATTTGAGGTACAAGAGATGAATGCTAATACTAAAATTAATTAACTACATAAAAAAAATAAAAGTATTGAGCAAGCTTAAGGAATCTCTTTATTTTTTTAAAAATAAAATAAAAAATGATTATGGCATTCTGAGCCATTTTATTTATCATAAAATAAGAAACAGAAGTCTTGAACAAAAAGGTGCCAAACAAACTAAAGATAACAAGCTTAAGGAATCGCTCATTCTTTTGGCCAAAGTATCATTAGGCAACTAAATATCCTTTTAATTAGTTGTATTCTTGAAATTAACCCTACATAACAAATCCAATACAAAATGCCATAGGCGACTATAAATAATTAATAAAAGTTCTCGACTATCCCATTAATATATTACTTCCTCCGTTTTAAGAAAAAACGTATCTAATTTAACTTTAACACAAAATTTTAAAAAAATAAATACTATTTTCAATTTTATAATTAAATATAGTAAAATATTTTTAAATTTATGCCTCTAAACGTAAAAGTTAAATATATATATTACTAAATACATTAAAGTATTACATAAAGTCATGATTCTTGGAGAAAAAATGATTTAAACGAATCTGGGGGACCAAAGCCAGTGGTTTTTTCATAATAAAATTAAAAACAAGTTCCAAAAGTTCACACGTGTTAAGGGCCTGTTTGGATGGGCTTATTAAAAGCAGCTTTAAAAAAGTACTTTTGAAAGTGTTGAAACTTATTTTTAAAATAAGCAGTTATGCGTTTGGGTAAAAAGTGCTGAAGTTAAAAAAAAAGTTGTTGATGTGTTTGACAAATAAGTGCTGATAAACAGCTTTTTAAA